TCTTCCCGTCAAAATGGAGGGTGTGAATATAATTCCTGTTGTTTCTGTTGAATTTGAGAGCGCTTTTTGCTTTTTGCCGATCTATATAGAGAAATCTGAATTTATTTCAGCTGTATTTTGCACAGTCTTTTCCGTGAAAAAATGCTATCTTTTTTTATCACTGCAGATAATGAATTTTCAAGCCAGTAACGGGTGTAGATCTTTTCAAAGAAAAACTTTGGGTTTTTATTTAATTTTATTTTTCATTATTTTTAATCCTTAATATTTGTTCCCTCACTACTGACATATTACACTCTTAGTTCCAAAATGTTTATTTGGAATTTTGTTAAAAACTTCTTTCAACAGAAACTGCGTTATTCCGGTTGAAACCATGTTCTTGATTTGATCGCCAGCTGCAGAAATAAAAGTAACTGCAACTTTTTTTCTACTACGAAGCGACCTTGGGGTTACGTATCGTCAAAAAATAATTTCGTTAAGCAAGCTCAGAAGACGACTGCAACTTAGAAGTAGAATAGAAAAAGTTCAGATTTCAAGCCGCGAGAGTGATTCCATTAAAATGCAGGGGTAAAGCCGCTAGAGCATTGTTGTGTACCCGAACCTAAAACGACGATGACACATTCGTCCGATGATCGCAGTAGGAAAAAAGTCCAGTTCTAAGAAAACAAGCCTATTTTCCATGAAACGGGCAAGGCACTGCTCGAGAAAGGCAAGAGAAAAACAATATCAAAATTTTAGGTCTTTTATGCGCTTTCAATATACACTTAGATTTCCAACCATCGCAGGTGAAAATGGTGCAAAATGGCTCTCAGCCGTCTTACTCATCTTAAGCGTGACACTGCAGTTCTACGCTATTCTGTTTCAGTGTTAATTCGGCTGCAAACTAAAGAAAACTTTGGTAATTTCGTATGCTACTATGAAAAAGATGAGACATTTAGTGGCGCCATCATCCCTAACGAGGGTTCTCCGTTTGTGCCGAAATTTATGTCAACACGTCGTTAACCTTCTACCTCCATACGGAGTACTATGTAGAAGTTTTTGTTGTGCCATCTTTAATAACGTGTAACATACAAGCCCCTGCATAGAATTCAAATTTGTCTTACTGTTAGCCTCCTGCACTAAACAGGTATCTGAGAAGCTGCAGGATGTTTCTTTGTAAGAGGTACATCCTTTCTGCTAAAT